CTCTGCATGGGGCTGGCCCTTCTTATCCTGGAGGCTCTCTCCTCACTACACTTCCTAAAATAGGAAACCTATCCTGTCACACCCCTGTATATTACATAGAATGCAGTGCTTATCGCTCCCCCAAGTGGTTTATGGTCACCAGCCAGGGAGCTCCCTTAGAGCAGGCACTTGGCCTGTCTTATTCCCCTAGATTCCAAACACCTAGAATAGTTCATGGTGGTAAATATGTGTTGAATGAATACAGACTGAGTGAATAAATCACATCCCTTGGCTAGACCTCAACTTGCCATTTCCAGGTTAGTCTCTGATATTCCCCTGGGCACATCTTGGGCTTCAGTTAATAGTCCTGCCTTGAACACATCCCTGCTTTCCTGCTTCCTGTTCAGAGCGTCTCCTCCCAGGCTGTCCAAATCCCCTCCTTCTCCTGAAGCTCATTCTGACCTGTGTCCACGAGACCTGCATCTTACCAGGTGGGCCCCGATGGGCAGGGCCTGCCTCCCATGTGGCTCCTGCTCACTACCTCCACCCTGTCTGTGCCCTTTTTGTGGGTAGAGTATGGGGTCTTGAGGACAGGAGGTCCATTTTTCTCACTCATTTCTGTATTTCCACAAATGTCCTGCCCTAACGACACGGGGCTGCTGGGAAGTATTTGTAGAGCTCCTTGTGGACCTGTTTTCCCACACCGGCTTCTCAGATTGGTGTAAACACCTTCCTGTTTCTGAAGGGTGCTCCCGTGCAGCACGGTTCAAAGAGGCAGAGTGCTTCCTTTCTCCAGCTTCCAAGGTCTCGTCCCCCACTCAGTGCTGTCCTAAGGAAGGCCCTCCGAGGCTGACAGTGACAGGAAAGGAAGGGAGGCGGGAAGTCCCAATCCTGGCCGACCTCATTACCTGGTAGCCCTGGGAATTGTTCTGGATCCCGAACTGCGGCAGGCCGGGGTCTGCACACATGGTCAGCGTCGGGTCTGCATTGCAAAACAAAGAAACGGACCCCACGGTCACTGAAGCGTCACCGCCTCTGCTCACTCTGCGAAGCCGAAGTGAAAAGAAGACGGAGCCGCATCCTGACTTCCCCACCTATCGATATCGCCACCTGAGAGTTCCCTTGGCTGACTACGAGATTTCCTGAAGCACACCCTCCGGCTATTTCTCATCCTGCTCTAGAAAGCTCAGTGGAGGACTCCGTTCCCTTTTGCAGAAGAGACCCCTGAGGACAGGGAAGGAAAGTTATTATCTTGGGTCCCAAAGAAAGAAGCCCACAGCTGGGACTCCTCCCTAGATCGCCTCTCACCTATGCAGCTGGGCTGGGTGCCACTCCACGTCCCATCTGACTGGCAGAACCGCCGTGGGGAGCCCACCAGCACCAGGGGGGGCTGGCAGGAGAAGGAGACAGATGACCTGTAGGAGAAGCCTCGGTCCTCTCTCTTCCCACGGGGCGGGACGCCAGGATCTCCGCAGAACACAGCTGGGAAAACGAGAGAGAAAGGCAGGTCCAAGTTGCTTCCCAGCACCCAGCCTGAGAGCCCATGGCCCCCACCCCCGCCCTAGCCTCTGTTCTTTTCACTGCTTTTCTCCCGGTCCTCCCGGTTCCACTTGAACTCTGGAAATGGGGGCAGCCCTGGGTAAATGATAACACTTGACTCAGCGCTGCTGCTGCCATGTCCTCTCCTTTTATATTCAAAATGCTTATTAATAATCATCCAAGTAATGGAGTAACATGATGGGAAGTTTAGAACATCAAGGAAAAACAGAGTCTCATCTACTACCCCAGACTGTTCTTTTCCCCCTATTTTCACACTCATTCCTGTGTAGTCTTTGTTCAGTTGTATGTAAACCTGTGCATGGCTGTGGACGTAATGTCCGAACGCCGTTAACCTTGCTTTGTTAACTTAATTGTCTGTGAACATTTCCCAGGGTTATGAATCCTTATCACTTACTGGCTACAAAATTTTACAATGAGAGGTTGTAACATAATTACAGTTTACCATAACCTTTATATTAGGCATTTTCTATTATGGTAAAGTTACACACGGCCTTTATTTTCTTAGGGGAAATTCTCTAGGAGTGGATTTATCTTTAAAGGTTTGAATGAGTTCGCAGCTCTTGATACGTACTTGATATGTACTTTCCAAAGGGTGTGCTCTGGTGGGTAGTGTATGGAGTACGCCCACTTCATTCAGATCGTCAGAGTATCAATAAAGATTGACTACCAAAGGCAAAGTTCCTCAAGACATCACTTCAAGCATGAAGAGCATTCTTTATGCTATGGGGTGGACGTGTGTGTGTGTGTGTGTGTGTGTGTGTGTGTGTGTGTGTGTGTGTGTGTGTTTATGTAGAGTCATGAGGTTCATAATCATATGCACATAAAATGGAAGCCTGTGCTCTGGAGGCTTGGGAGTCTAGACCTGACCAATAAGAAGTCAGTCAGAGGCTGAGTTGATCAGAAGTCCCTGTATCTGGAAAAAGGCAACTCAAAAGATAAGAGATACAAGTGGATGACAAAGAGCAACTCGGTCTTGCTAAAAAGCGATGTGATGCCAATTAAAATAATGGGACATCTTTTTAAACTCCTCAGCCTGATAAATATTAGAAAATATTGGTGACATCCATTGTTAATGAGGACATAAGTCAAGAAATATTCTCATAAACTGCTGGTAGGAGTGTAAATTGGGACACTCCTTCTAGAAGACAGTTTGGCAGCACATACAAAAAAATATAGAGTGTATGATTAAAATGGAATAACCCAAATTCATCACCAGTAGGAGAAGATTAGACAAGTCAGGCTATCTACAATAAGAAAATTCTTTAAACTATTAAAAATGATGTATGAATTGGTATGTATGATAGAGAAAGGTGCTGTTGGCTTATCAACGAATACAAGTTATGAACTAGTAGGTACAGCATGATTCAATAACGTTTATAGAAAATCATACAGGTATTGCTATAAATGAGAAAATGCAGAGTGATCAATTTGGAAGCACACTGTGGCTGTCTGTGGGAATTGAGAATTTGGATGAGTGTTATGTTCTTCTTTGTATTTTCCGATATCGATTTTTTTTTTTATGATAAGTGTTATTTATTGCTAAAGAAACAATTCAGTTATTTCTCAAGAAGAAAAGCAAGGTTTCCAGACCAGACTTAACCTTGAGACTTGCTCGTTCCTACTGTTACTCCGGGGGCATGTGGTCTGAGGGGTTGACCTCTCACCAAACGCTGCCTTTCCTGTGTCTACCTTTGGGCTGCTTGTCTTTGCTGAAATTTCTCAAATGGAAGCAAATTTTCAGAGGTACCCAAACAGTGTCATGAGTATGTTGAATGTTTTCTGCAGAATTAGATAAATGCCAAGTAGAAAGGAAAAATAGGTCCTACTCTTTGTCCAAAGTCTGGGCACGGGGAAAACCTTCCAAAGCTGACTCATGGGCTGTGACAAGAATAAGTGACCTGGAGCCTGCTTCTCTGGGGAACTCAGGAATGGACTTGAGGTTCTTTCGGACATAGTTGGGCTAGGTGAATAAGAAATAAATTCTCTTGCCAGAAAAGCATGCGTTCCCTAGGAGTCTTTTCTGTGCAGAGTATTTTCCTGAAGACAGGCATGTTTCCAGCACTGGGGTCCCTCCATCCCCTGGTCTTTGGGCACTATCTTATCGAGTTAACAACCTTGCATGTTTAGAAACCCCTCCCTCTTCTCTGGCATACTTTCCTCCCACTGTGACTCCACACAAAGTCTGTAGCCAAGGCTCACTTAAGATACAACTATTTTCTTTCCCTGAACTTCCTTCCTTCTTTAATAATATCTCTGACAAAGCTCCTCACTGATTTTGGGGAGGGAACTATCTATTCTATAACTTTCAGTAGCAGAGCTCTGAGGAGGGAAGGGGGAAGGAGCCAGCAGATAGGATGCACTAAAGGCCCCCTTGAGCAACTCACGGAAACACTGAGGCAGCTCTCCAGTCCAGGATCCATTCCCCTCACAGGTGAGCACCGCAGGTAGGGAGAGCTGGTACCCCTCTAGGCAGGCATACGTCACACTTGAGCCCCACATGAAGTCGGACCCCACCACTTTCCCGTTGGGGATGAGCTGAGGTGGCTTGCACATGATAGCTGGGGGGAGAGGAAGGAGGGAGGAAGAGACCAAAGAAGGCTGAGTTCTGGTGTTGTCCTGGTGAAACCAGGCTCCAGTCACCAGCACTGATGTCTCCTGGGAGTCCGGCTGAGCAGGAGGAATCAGGAATAATCTCTTACTTTGGGAGCTCTGGCCTGTTTGCACCTTACAACACCTTCTCTCAGGTGTGACAACCCTCTTTGCACAAAGCCCGGGCCTTGATATCTTCCAACCCCCTCCTTGCAGATGTTCAGAGACTAAGCCTCACCTCCCATATCCCTGTTAAGATACAGGGCTCTGCCTTGTCACCTCTCCCTTCTAGATGGTCAAGGCCTGATGTCTCACTTTTGTATCTTCTTTGGCCCTCTGTCCTCATCTGCAGCCCTCAGACTCACCTTTGCAGACTGGCTTGGTACCATTCCATGTCCGGTCCTTGGTGCAGCTCAGCACAGATACCCTATGTGACTCCATCATGTAGCCAGGGACGCACTGGTATGTCACAGTCTTGTTGTACTTGAAGTCATTGCCCAGCCGGAGGCCATTGGCTGGAATCCCAGGGTCGCCACAGCTTATGACTAGGACAGGGGGCAGAGCACTGTTCACTCCCAGTCCACTCCTCCTTTCTCCCCTGCATTCCAATATCATTCCTATCACTCCCCATACATGTCCAAGAAGGGAAACAGTCAGATCAGGAATGTCCTGTCCCCATGAAGGCTCCCAGGTGGGCACTGCCCATCCTAAAGTCCGTTTGGCCACATCTCTCTACAAGGGTCCTCCTGCATCCCCACTCTCTTTGCCCACACCATCCTTATGCACCCCAGACACTTGGGCTATGAAGAACATCCTTCTTATTCAAAGCCCACCCCTCTAAGAGGAAGTACCCAGAGGGCTCAGTTCCTCAGTGAGGCTGGGGCCCAGGGAGAGGGACGTTTCAAGGTCGAAGAGCCTAAGATGTGTTAATGGACCACACAGATGATCTGTCTGCTGGTGGGTGCATCTCATCACCTGCTGTTGTGCTTAGGCGGCCCTGTAGGCCCAGCAGCCTAGAAGCAGGGTCTTATGACCTATGCAATGGTCGTCCCTATGTTATGGTATCAAGTGAGGGTGGGGGTTTGTATGCTCTGGCCTCGGAACAAAAATGAACGCTACATGAGATTCCAGATGGAGTCTGAAATCAAAGACTAGGAGTTGGACAGGGAGACTGCTGTCAGATTCTCTTATCTTGTCACTTCCCTCCAGCCGGGCCCCACAGTGATTTGTTTTCCAAGGAAAAGAGTCTTGCTCTCTGTGAGGAGCAAGAAAGGGGAGCGGTGGAGATACTCCATGCTTGAGAGCCAAGCAGGGGTGAGGATGAGTCCAAGGGAGAGAAGGAACGAACAAATTTGGTGGATGATGGCAGTGTTAAAGTGGAAAGAGAATCAGATTGAGCACTGGGGGTTTGTTCCAAATGAGAAAAAGAAAGCCCACGGAACTGGCTGGAGCCTGAAAAACCGCACATCTCTATCTCAACCTCTCTGAGCCTCAGTCATCTCATGTATATTAGTAGCTACTTCATGAGGTTGTGTCGAGAATCAAATGACATAATGCGTATAAAATAAAGCACTTAGCTCAGTGGCTGTCACACATTATGTGCTCAATAAATGAGGCTATTCATATGGTTCTCATTCAGGGTCAAGTCCTACCACTCCATCCAGCCTTCCCAATCTCCAACAGACAGCCTCATTCTTTGACATGGAGGAACTCAGTCACTTCTGCCACCATTTCCCATGGCACTCAGAGGGCCTGAGTTCTCACCTATGCACTCTGGGTCACTGCCTGTCCAGGTGCCATTGACCGAGCAGTGTCGGCTGAGCAGTCCTGTGGCGTAGTAGCCTTCCCGACATTCGTAGACGATAGAGCTGGAGAAAACCAGGCCATCACTGAACATGACTCGGGCATTGCTTGGAGTTCCAGGGTTCCCACAAGAGATCACTAGGAAGCCAAAAGGGCACATTATTCACCAGAACAAAGGTAGACATCACCTGGGGAACTGAGAACTGCCCAGAGTGGAAGCCAGGTGCTACATAAAGACCCTGTGGGTTGACATGCTTCTCATGCTGCTTTCATGTCTGATCATCCCACCCTGAGAAGGGAAGAACAGATCTGTATGAATTCTTTCTAATTTCTAAAACATAAGGACTATATCTATTTTATTATCACATAGCAATTCCTTAAAATCTCCAGATATTAAACCAGTGCTTAATTTTCCTCAATTGTCTCATTTTTTAAGTTAATTTGTTTGAATCATGATCCAAATGAGGTCCACACATGGCATTTGGTTGGCATGTCTCTAAGACTCTTTGAATCCAGAGATTACTATTCCCTCTCCTGCAAATTATCTGGTACAGAAAACGGGACATTTATCTGTTAGAATTTCCCACTTTCTGGATTTTGCTAACTGTACCAGTGAGGTGTTGTTTAACACGTGCCTCTGTCCTGTGTAGGTCCTGTAGTCACATCCTACTTTTTGGTCAGTGTACTTCATACATGATTTTGTGTTTCCTACTGCATCACGTCAGGAGGCACAGAATGTCTGATTGTTTCCTTGTTCCTGAAGTCGAGGCTGATCAGTGGGTTCAGGTTTGCCCACCTAATCTGGCATTATAAATTTTTCATTAGTTTTTCCCTTTAATGGTTTTAGCAGCAAGGAGTGATTGTTGACTAGATTTGTCATTTCATTAGGGGCTAGAAAATGGTGATATTCAAATTCTATAGTTCTTTCTGCATTCACTTGACTTCTTTAATAAAAAACTTGCCCATCATCAAATATTTATTTACCCTGATATACAATTCATACAGGAAGACTGGAAAATGCTTGATTGCTTTTTAATCAGCCATCAGAACAATGCGTTCATTCCTCAGCAAGCTCTGAAGGTGATCAACAATCATTTGAACTCATGGATTTAAACTTATTTACCATGTTGCCAACCATTGCCACTATTATTCTCATTGATGCTCAGATGGTCCCATCTTTGGTTAGTGCGAGCCTCTTCAAGTTGGCATGACCTCATTTGTCTTTGGTAAACTCTCTGTTGGAGTGACAAAGCTGTTCTAAGTTCCTTTGAGTATTGCCTGCCCCAGACCTGGAATCAGCTATTCTCCAAAGAGCTCAGGCTGCTTTTAGTGGAGAATAGATTTAAAAACTACAATCATTGCTACTGATTCTAGACTTTTAGAGCAGACGGCTGGGCAAATAACTTTTCAAATTGAAAATATATTATGAGTTTATACTGATATTACCAATCCAAATTTAGGTCTAAGAGTTTTTCCTTAACTTTTTAATTTTTATATTATATCACCTTTATCCTTGAAAATCTTGGTTCTTAATTACAACAAATAATTTAAATTGGTTTTATCCATATCTATTATAGTATTTTATATATGTAATAGTTTTAGAATAGTAACACTAATATTACTAACATTATGAATTCTGAAAACAGCTTAAGATTTCACTGCAGTTCTCTTTGTCCTTAGGATATAAATACCATACTCAAATTTCATTTTCTCAAGTAATTCTCTAGGTTATTAAATCACCAACTCTTGACACATAGTTAAGTTCATTTGTTCCTGTTTAGATTTTTATATTTAGAGATTACTTGTTTCTAATCTTTGATTTAATTTTATTCTGTAAGTATGTACAACATTTATGTGGTCCCAAAGTCAAATCTGCAAAATGATTCCTATATAATTAGCACAACAGACAGGCTCTAATATCCATTTATTTAACAAATATTTGTGCACCTAGGTCCCAGGAATGCAGTGATGAACAAGTCATATTCCCTGCCCTTGAGGAGCTCAGTCTTTCTTAAGAAACTGTCTATAAACACATGAATTAAAACATGATGTAATAAGTGTTATACTTGATGGAAAAAAAAGCACTAATAAGGGAGAATCTTATTCGGGCTGGGGATAAGAATTTGAGTAGAACCTTAAAGGATAAGTGGGATCTTGTCAAGGGAAGTCACACACTCAACCAACATTTACTTCCAGGTCCAAACTCACTTAGCCGCTCACTTTCTGTTCCCTGAACACTCCTGACATGTTGACTAACTTCCATTCTGTATCTGAATGGCACGAAAGGGGACCTGGGCAGGTGTCCTCTGATCATAGGCCAGAATATTCTCCTGGGCTCTGCAGAACTACTCCATGATCTCGACTTCAAACAGCCTATTCCCTAACCACTACCTCTTATCTCTTCAGCTCACTCCCTCTGGGATTCATTCTCTGGTGATTTCTCAGTCCTACTGGGACCTATAATCCATTGATTTTACCATTTTCTTTCACTGCCTCCTACTCCACTCATAAACCCGCCCCCTCCTTACTCAGCTTAGATGCCAAGATCAATCATAATCGCTGCTTTCTGTGTACCCTCATCTCTCTTGCCACTTTCTGCTGATGTGTTACTTGCCTGATTAAACCCCAGTCCCACACCTAATGCTTCACCTACTCTGTGCCTGCACCTACGTAGCAATATGTGGTTGAACAAAAACCCAGACCAATGCTGACTACTCTCCCTTTAAATTAATGGCCTCTCAACTTAAGTGAGCCCTACGCACTGCCTGGAAATTATATATTTCCCTATTCCATTCCCATTCCTCTCTTGCTAGGTGATGATTTCATATTATCTCCTTCCTTTTCCAACATCTTCTTAGTCAATCTTACTCTCAGCTGTTAAACCTCTTCCTAACTAGGAGAGTGCAATGCAGACTGTATTTTAGAGACAGGGGGATTTGGGGAGCAGCTATAAAAAGTTGGACTCTGGGAGGAGAGGTTTTAAAACAGATTTTTTCCCAGAAATTTAGGAGTATGTGGAGCAATGTAATTTTGCCCACTGGGGCTACTACTTCAGGGAACAACACTAAAAGTTTATATTACTTCTAAGGGTTTTTAAAAATTGGATTTCTATTTCTCTTGGCACTTTGAATGCTTGTATAACACAGTCTCTTCCCTTAAACTGTAAGCTCCAAGAGGGCAAGGTTTATCTGTCTTGGTCGTCATTGTGTCCCTAGCACATACTACAGTATTTGGCATACAGTCATTGAATGAAACTATATGGGAAATAAGTGAATAAATGGGCTAAGCTTAGTTTATTCTGGTTTTTTTTTTCCCTCCTCCTTAGGTGAGGGTAGGGAATATGTTTGTCTGTACATTACTAATGAGAGGAACGTGAGCTATCTGTTGATGTCTACTATCCACAAAGCCAAGGGTTCAAACGGGGCCATGGATGTTATCTGTGATTGGGAGTGGGAAAACAAGGGTAGGCAAAGGGAAAAAGCAGAATGGTCACATACATTACCTCCACACTCAGGCTGTGTGCCGCTCCATGAGCCGTTGGCCTGACAGGTCCGCTCTGATGACCCCCGGAGGGCGTGGCCAGCTTCACAGCTGAAGCGCATCAGACTTCCCAGGGCAAAGCTATCGCCCAAACGGATGCCATGGGCTGGGGTCCCAGGGTCACCACAAATTCCCATGCTGGTTCCTATGGACCAGAACCAAACACACCCCATTGTTTTCAGCATGGAAGGAAGAGAGTAGCAGACCGACAGAGAAAGATAGTGGGCCATTGTTAAGGGGAGGCAGTTGGGCCCCTTGAATTAGGGGGGTGAAAACCAACTGTGTCCAGTCTGAGTTACCCAGACAGGCTCCTTCCTGTATTACTACTCAGTAGTGAAAGAACACATAGGTCTGAGGTCACGGGTAAGTCCCAGGGGAGCACAGGACAAGGAAAAGAAGAAGGCAGAGAGGAGGTTCTGCGGCGGATCATGCCTTTGTTCTTTGGCCTGTGCCAGCGTGGAGTGTCAGTGGTCCAAGCTGACCGTATCTCTCTCTCCTTTTTACCTCTTCCTCACCAATATCTGCTGATTCTCTACTCTCCCCATTCCCAGTTCCACTGATGCTGAGCATTCTTTTGCCTGAACTATTGCAAGAACCTCCAAACTAATGTCCCTTCCTCTTAAACTCTCTCTTTAATCCACCTTTCATTTTATCCTTAAATCTTAACAATGAACCACTACTAACCATCTGAACTTATTTCTTCTTTTTTTTCTGGCTTCTCATTGCTTATAGGATAAAATCCAAACTCCTTAGCATAGTTTCAGCTTCTCAGGTGCCTAGCTTGAATCCTGATCCTTTAATTGAGGATTCCCTATTCGCAAATTACACAACACAGGTGGGTTTCGGATTAAATGTCTTAGACCTTCTCATTTCATTCTTCCTTTGCCTCTTGCCTCCTGCTACATTTCTGCATTTACCTGGGTTCTGATACTATACAAACCCACCCAAAAGATGAAGCAGGGTACAGAACAGGAGACAAAGCCACAAGATCTAGTGCCAATGGGAGCCAACACATCTAATAATAGAGATGTAAGAGACATCATTGGATCAGACTAGGCTATGATTATCATGAGAAGGGAAGAAGAGAATTAAGGAATAAATGGCAACTGCAAAAGAAGACAAAGTTTCCAACTGATGTGCAATGTATCTCCTCGTGACCCCACATCAAATGGTAGCCTCTGAGTGACCACAGTTTGTGGGAGTAAAGAAATGTTTAAGTCATATATACCCCAGCATTTACTATTTATGTCTCTTCCTCTCAATCTTAGAATTACATCCTTTTCTAGTCTGATCTCAGACTATGAGAATACCATGTTCCTTATTCTGTTCTCTATCAAGAAAGGGAGATTTGTTCAACCTTCAACTCAGACATTTGGAACAAGAGGGCCCATGACATTTGGCCAGGTTTTCTTATCTTTTGAAGTTTTCCAGGATGTGGCTCATGCAACAGCAGTACTGGGTCCCCTGGAAAGCACCCCTAATGGTGAGTATCAAACTCCTGCACTGGCTAGCTGACCTCAGTCAAAGCCAGCAATATTGTACAATAGGGCTGAGGGTGGAACTTTCCAGTCTTGGGGGTTTATCTTTCAGAATGGCCCCCACTGTGGTGTTTGGCGCTTCTAATTCAATAATACAAGTCAGGCACAGAATATTGTACCATGGGGCAGATGACAACTCAGCAAGATGACAACACTGCAGAGTTGGGCAATGAACTTCTCAAAGTATGTCTCAAATGCTGGAGAGCTCTGCACGTCCTTGATGGCCCAGAGACTTATGATTCAAGGACTCAGGACATTCCATTATGCAGCATCTGGGTGAATGGACTATGCAGAATGAGGTTCAAAAATATGACCTTAGAACCCTGACTGTGTATTTCTTAGGACTGGCAGGAGATGCTGTTGCAAAAGATGACATCTGTAAGTTTCAGGAAGGGAGGAGTTACATTCTACTCACTAGTACACACCTAGTATTGCTTCTTAGTTGCCTTTTCTTTTCATCTACCATTTTCTTATCTAAGGCATTTAAGATTCACTCATTCCTCAGACTTAGCATTTATAGAATCCCTTCTAATATTGTCCTCAGAGGTCCCTGGGAAAGCTCTGCCCATGATTCTTGTTGCCTAAGTGTCTGTCATCCTTGATGGATATACAAGAGAAATGAGACTGCTAACTACTTCTCAGAATATTCAGGATCAGGGCTCAAACAACTGGATGCAATATAACCCTTAATGGGTAAGGCCCATATCCCATAAGGTTCTTTTCTTATTTCTTACATTTTCATGCTCCCAAGGTGTCAGCTTACTTCTAAGTGTCCCCTATTGACCTTTGATGTGGCCAAGGAAGAGTCCCTTCTTCCACATGTAAGACAAGTATTTAGGAAGTCACAAAATTGTCTCAGGGTTGAAAGGGTCTTGGAGGTTTTCTAGCTTTATTTTCAACTTCAGACAAGAATTGTTTCTGTAATATTTCCATTAGGTCATTTTCCAGCCTTTGCCAAGACAACTCCAAAGAAGGGAAAGCACAATTTGGGAGAAAAGATTTTGGATTCCATGCCATGGACCAGGAGAATGCCGTGTGGTTGGGTTATACAGGCTAACAGGCAGGAGATGCTCAGGGCTTTCTCTCTGGTTTCTTTCTCTTCTACTTCGCGCTTCCCTTTCCCATGGAGAACAATGATCCCGCAAATAGACCAAATACACTTTAAAAGTACCATTTGCCTGTCTATGGCCATGCTACCCTGAATAAGCCTGATCCTGTCTGATCTCAGAAGCTAAGCAGGGTTGGGCCTGGTCAGTACTTAGATGGGAGACCACCTAGGAAGACCATGTGCTGTAGTTGTAAAAAATAAAAAAACTAAGGGATTGTAAGCTGACAAAGTCCTTGCAATCTGTGAGGTCAACTAAGGG